AATCTCGAATTTGGATTGCTGTAGCCTGCTGTAAGATTAACAAATAATGAATTATTCTAGTCAAATTGCCAAATGGATTTCCAAATCTTATCGTAGCCTAGAAGCGTTACTGTACTGGCAACGTAGCCGGGTGTTGTTTTGGATTACTGTAGCCAAGTTGGCTAATAGATTTCCAAGTCTTACAGTAGTAGCAGGTTGCTGATACTGTACTGGTCATGGTAACGGCTTTTTATGGCTTGAAGCTGAGAATTTGTAGATCAGCCAGGCCATGTCGATGACTTTGCCTAGCCTGGCCTGGCCCTTGGCTAGCCTAGGCTGGCCTGGTCCTTGGCTAGCCTAACCTGGCCTGGCCTTTGGCTAGCCTAGCCTGGCCTGACCCTTGGCTAGCCTAGCCTGGCCTGGTCCTTGGCTAGCCTAGCCTGGTCCTGTCATTTCCTGGAGAACCAGCCCTGTCTACAACTGCAGTGATTCACTCTATAGGGTACTTTGTGGGTTGGCGGGCAGTTTTTTAAAAATTTTTACTTTTCCTGGGGTAATCTGTGGCGCTGAACACGAATTTCGCATCTTTAGACGGTTTATCATTAAAAAACCGGCTTTTTATAATTAGATTACTGTTACGTTTTGGTCATTAGCTAGTTATTAGTCATTAGCTTAGTTTAACAAATTTAACCTGTTTTCTCTTGTTAAACCCCACCCCATTAACCTCAAGGTGCCCAAAAATGAGCCTAAAAGGAGCCAAAAAAACTTAAGGAGCCCAAAAATGAGTCAAACTATCGTTAATTCAGTTCAAAATGGCAAGAATTGAAATCAACACTTGATCACACATTTCTTTTTCAAATTACCATGAGCTCAGCTTATGGAATATAATATTTTCAGTTCGTAGCGTTTGTCTATTGTTGTGAGTCACCGACAGCCCCCAGTTAACCAGCTCAAGTTTAGGTCGGGGTTCCAGCTTGTGTCCTCTACCCCACAAACCGGCCATCCCCTTTCATCTGCCATCACAACCCTTTCTTTCCCATTCTTTCCCATCCAAACATTCCATTCTTTTCATTCTTTTGTCCCTTCCTTTCTCCCCCTGCTTCTTGTTTTTGTTTATCGAGTTTTCCCCATTTTTTTTGACGTCACACCTCTAATGTTTTTCTTTCACTCATTGATAAGCTTTTGTCATTTTTCGATGACAAACCATTTGACTAGTTAGATTTTTTAAGCCCCGCAGTATCCTTACAGTACTCTGTACTTAACTAAAAGTTTTCAACTATCCAAAAATCCAAAAATTTGCCCCAAAAAGAAAGAAGGGACCATTATGCTTTGCTTTTGCTGTTCTGCGTTTTGCTCAAAAACACTCAAAAACCCACTAAAATAAGGCGTAAACCTTTGAACCACTAAAAAATGCTTCAAAAAAGAATTTCTAATCAAAAGTGTCTCCAATTCACCCAAATTCTCAGTCAATCTCCGGCTCAAAGTCCTCCTTTCTTTTTCCCTCTTTGGCTTATCTTTTATCTCTCTTTTTACTGAAGAGAATTCCGGTAAGAAAAAGCTGATCAGTGTTTTCAAAAATGCCAGATTTATTCTAATTCTTTACTTATTGTCAATTCGCAACTAATTGTAACTTGTTACTTGTGTATTTTGTGTTCAAACGCATCCTTTCTAGTGCACTGAATTCGGCACTTTTCTCAGAAACGATGATTTTGCGAGGAAAATGAGGAATTCAGTGTGCCAAGGGTACGTTCACGAGTTTCAGCAAAGTGCACAATCTTCTTACACTGTAAACACCTCTTCTTGACTTTTAAAACGTCTTGTTCTGCTTGCTGTTCTCTTTCAAAGGGTGATCAGTTAAAGTTTGTACTTCCTTTGATTCTTTGATCAGATGCTTGATCAGACCACATGTATCTCCAACATTTTCTTATAGCTTTGTACCAGGATATTGCATTTCCCTTCCCCCCTTCCCCCCTGACCCGAACATAACACCTCTCCTTCTTGACTGATTCACTTTTTACCACCCCTTCCCCTTTTTTCCTTCAATTTTATGGCCATCACCACTTAGGCACTCTGATCGAGCTTTTGCAAAAAAATTGAATGACTTTTGATTCACTTTAAGACTTGTTTGTTCCGTGTTTTTAACTCCTTTAGAAAGCTTTTACTTACTCTTACTATTAGTACTTTCTTCAAGCTTGAAACTAGTACTAGAACTATACTATACTAGGTTATTATACACTATTTTACTATATACTATTATACTACTCGCGACTATCTATACTAGACTTCGACTTAATAAATAAAAATATTAATATTAATTCTCCCAATTTTAATATTATTGGGAGAATTTCCATTACTCTTCAAAGAATTCTTAGTCACGAGGACTTGTGTGACTTCTTGATCCTGTGACTAGAGCACCAGTAAGTGCAACTGTTCGGATCTCTAGGTTATTATTCCAGTTATCGTGAGCCAGTAAGCCAGTATTTAAGTACAGTGGCTAGATCAAAATTAGACTAAACTAGAAGCCAGTTTCAAGCCAGTTCCGGCCTTGGAAATAGAAATTAGACTTGAGCTAGGTCCAGATACTTTTGCAGATCAGTTCTTGCCTTGTCCTGGTAGGATCCGGGAAATTGATTTGGAAGACCTTTGGGCCAGGTCAGAACAGATGACAGGACTGGTTTCTTCTGACCGGCCCTAGTCTGACCTGGAAGAATCGGTTTTGGAGCTATGGAGTATGTCAATACAACCAACACAATCGTTACAGTAGGCAATTGTACAGTATACAAAGATCCATGAATACCTGTCTAACTAACCATATCGCACGCAACTCCTAGTGTTCTCTGTACTTCGTTTGAACGTTTCATCGTGTGACACTCACTTGATCTCGTTTCATCATTTCATCACATCCAATTAACTCGTTTCATTTCATAAATTCCAGAGGGCGTTTCATTCATTCATTTTTTTATATTTAAAAGATATCCATTCAATGTATTGTGGGATTTAATCGGTGGATAAAGAAAACCGGAAGGAGTACAGAGAATTCACAAATCCCCCAGCCTCATTCCTTGAGATTTTCCGTTTCTTTGAGCTCAAGGTCCAGTTTTTTATGTTATATACTAACAATAAATCCGGCCAACCTAATATTATTATTTAAATTGTTGATTATTGTGACAGTAACACTGGCAACTGGGGCAAACATTTATCGAATTAATGGAAACATCTATTGGACTACTTGATCTTGAGCTGTGCTTTGTGCTCCCGTAAATGCGCGCTCTTTGGCGCACTTGATGCCTCGTATCTTTAATGAGTTTTTTGAGTATGCCAGAAAGCAAACCAAAGAAAATTTATGCTAGTATAAAGTACAATCGTTTTTTAAAGTTGATTACTTTATCGTTGCTAGCACTAGGGCAAGGTTGATTTCGGGCGGAATTACAGGTTTTTTTTGGTATTTTCTAGCTGAATCTACAATAATCTACAATCTCTACAAGCTATAATGTTGATAATATTTTCTTGTCCAAATTTTCTTCGCATGAAATCGGGCGGAGGGGGGTCATGAACGAGCGGCTAATCCCCAGCCCCCAGGCCGAACCCTAGGCCCTGCCCAGCTCCGCAATCTATATTCTATATCTACTGTAAAAAGCCTTATCCCTGATTTTCTATATCTCCAATATTCTCCATATATCTAACACATTTGCCCGTTCCCTCTTTTCCGGCCTAAACAAGTAATCTTTCCGGTTTCTTTTGCTCGATTTTCTCATCGATTGGCTTTAAGGATTACTCATTACAGATATGTTTTTATATCTAGATAAGTCTATGTAAATATGGTAGTGCTTTTTACAGTTTATATTTTGAGATTTATTGGACCATGACCAGAAAAAGGGTCTCAAAAGCAGTTTTTCACCTCAAAATTCTAAATTTTGCTTGAGTTTGAAGATCCTAAAGGCTGATATAATCCTTAGAATCTAGGTATTTTTGAGAAATATTTTATTTTTATCTTAGCTTTTCAAAAACAATATTTTCCCAACAGAAACCAGCAGGATTAGGGGCTTTGTCACCATGTTTTTCTTCGTCAAAATGAAAACGGTGAAAAAAGCACAAACTTTTGATCTCGCCTACGAAAACGCCTACGGGGAAAAATTGTAATCATATCGAGTAAGTAAAGGATTCGACATTGAACTTGATACTTGAAGATTACTGTACAAACATTACTTTTTTTCGTTTTCGTCCATCCTGATTAGCCCAAAGAAATGCATTTGCATTGTTGAATACCGTTTATGCTTTGTTCTAGAGATGACCGCATGTTTTTCTTTGAGCAAGACCATTCATTTCTTTATTTTACTAGATAGTCTGATACAATCGGAATATTCCCTCAAATTTGTACCCCACCCACTCCCTACAAATTTTGTCCACTCAAAATAACAAAGAAGCCAGCCACATGGCCGTCCCCTCCATTGAATATTTTCCCGGATCCCCCAGTTTTCCTCCATTTTCTTCCCCACAAATCCCATGAATGAATTCCATTTTTCCCGTCTCCGGTCCGATCTCAGGAAATTAATCCCTCTCCAATCCACATGTGATTGTAGCCCACGGATTTTTTTGCCAGAAAAATTTCTCTTCAGAATTTTTTCCCGGAGAAAATCCCCCAAAAATCCGGTAAACAGCTCAGTTTTGATGTTTTCTGGGGAAATATTTTTGCGCCTTTTTCATTCACTGGAAATTGCTTGTGGGAAATGAGCTGACTTTTGCAAGGATTTTTGAAATTTTGACTCATAAATCTGATACAAAACAATTTCCGGATTTTTCTAAAGCTCGGATTTCCAATTTCTAACCCAGTTTTCTGATTTTTAGTTGAATTCTTGGCCTATTCTTGACCAATTCTAGACCCAAGCCATCAGAAGCCAGCTCCAGCCTGGTCTTTGACTGGTTCAGGCAGAATTTATGTTTCTTTCGTGGGTTTTCCAGAATTTCCCTTGTCTTTCCCTTAATCTTACCCAATCCATTCATTCATTCATTTTTCAGAAATCATGGAACGTTCACACGCGCCATTGAGGCGTGTGATGAAAGGACCGCCGGCAAAAGTCGACCCAACACTACAAAAAACACAAGAAAAACAAGAAAAACGACAGCAACAACAACTATTCCAACTACAACACCAACAAAATGGGCATGATGAGGAGAAAAACGAAAAGAGATTGAGGTGGGGGAAATGGAAGAAAAAGAGCTTTGAAGAAAGTGCAAGGATGGCCAAAAAAGCTCCTGACTCGTTCCCTGACCATTCTATTGAATGCAAATTTCAGCACTCGATCGATTGTCTCCGAGCAAGACTCTTGTTATTCATCGTGTTCCGAAGAGTCTCACGCGTCGTTGTCAAGAGAAAGCAGTGATGCCCTGTCAACACATTTGGGAACACTCTCACTTTCAGGTAGCTTATAGTTAGAATTCAAAAATTCAATTCTTCAAACCAAAATGGGAGCTTGATAAAGTCTTTGCATATCAAATCAAACCAATTCAGATGGCGAAAGTGGTCGAGGCTCAGTGACACCTTGTGCTCTCCCATCGGAGCTTCTCGAATTCGCCGTTTCTCTCGGATACACCGAACAACAATTGCACAAAGCTTTGGCTGCCGTTGGACCGAATGCGGGACAGGTTTGGGAATAGCTTTGGTCAAAAAGTGTGGAAACGCATCTTTTCTAGTGCAAGCAATCTTTCATTTCTAAGGAAATGATCTAAGAATTGTTCTAGGAAGCGATCTAAGAATTGCGTACACCAGAAAGGATGTGGTTGCAGATTTAGGGCACAAAAATGACCAGTGCAACAAGAATTTAGGACAATATCCTCGCGGAACTTGTGCGCGGCGGGCAACCGACGTCTTCTTTGTGTTCATCACGTGTCCCATCACAAATCTCAATTCCCGCCGTTGTCTCATCTCCATCGACTTCAGCAAATTCTCCGCAACTTCGCTCGATTGTGATCGACGGAAGCAATATCGCAATGACGTTAGTTTTAGAGATTAATAAAATTAAGGCTCAAAACTAGGTTACACCCTTTTCTCACCCAAACCTTCTGACTTGCTTTGGTCTAAATTCTCTTGAACTCAATTCCCAATTTTTTGAAAATACCCAAGAAAATCGATTTCCTTTTTAGTAATCCTTTTTTATCTATAAGCCGCTTTTAGCCACCAGCTTTTTTTTCTTCGATTTTGGTCAAAAACGAAAATTTAGGGTCGTTGAAAAACTGTTATTTGACGAAAACCGTTTCTTTGGCGGCCAGGTGCTCCCGTTCCCAGATCTCTTTTTTAGAAAATTGAATGAATGACAGATATTAGTGGAATTTTTGATCAGCAATCAAGAAAATGACGTTTTGAGTACAGTGAAAGTACTGAAATGTGGGGAAAATGTTTTTGATGCTTAAATTTTTGAGAATACAATGAAAGTTGGGTGTTTGGTAGAGTTCGACAGATTGGGTTACTATAACAAGTTAGTTTACTGTAGCATGTCGGCTTACTTTAGCAATGACACGTTTTAGGAAACGAGACAAAATTTACTTGTTTCTTGACTAGTTTAACAAAAAATCCGGGAATATTAGGAAAAATTTCCAGTCATGGCCGAAAAGAGGTTTTCTCGTGCAGTGGCATCCGCGATTGTGTCCACTTTTTCCTCCAACGAGGCCACAACGATGTGCTGGTCTTCATTCCGCAATTTCGAAAAGAAGCGGCTAGGTTTGTTTTTTAAGAGAATCCAGTCTGCCATTTTCTCTAAAAAATTGACTTTTCTGCTCCAAAAACGAAAAAAAGTAGCAGGCACAGGGAATTGAACTGGGGATCTTCGGATCTGCAGTCGAACGCTCTGCCACCGAGCTAGACACTGATGTTCCTCGAGCAAAAAGCAGTTTTATAGGGCCGACTGTCCGATCACTGATCAGCACGTGTTGACAGAATTGGACGCGCGAAAGCACATCGTTTGGACACCGTCGAGGTGAGTGCGATAGATAAAATGATCTGTTATCTAAAAATATCCATAATCTATAGTTTTTATCTAAAGCTTAAATTTCCAGGAGAATCAACGGACGGCGAATCGTTTGCCACGATGATCGTTACATTCTCAAAACGGCTGAGGTAAGAATATACGCAAATTTCTGACTAGTCATAGAAATTTGCCATTGCCTGAAATGCCATTGCCTATTTGCCTGAAACAGACACTCTAGTCAACTTATACCAGAAAGGATACTGTACTGGAAGGAATGTTTAGGAAAAAGACGCAGTGATTGTCTCAAATGATGAGTATCGAGATTTGGTTCGAGAGAATCCACAGTATCGAAAACTCGTCGAGAACCGCCTCCTCATGTACTCATTCGTTGACGGAAAGTGAGTTTGAAAGCAAAGTTTGCTTAGAGTCTGTGCCTACACTACAGCACTATTCTATGTGCACTAATTTGTACTATCTGCTTTTCCTAATACTAGGTTGGTGCAAATGAAATTTCGTTTTTTTACAAACATTAAAGTCATCCAAAATTTTTTTTGATAACAATTTATTTAAAACAATAAGCACCATTATTATCTATGACATCCCTCCAACGTTGCTACAGATTGCGGATCCCCTTCTCAAAGAACGCTTGATTCTGTGATGCAAAGTAGTTGGTCACCCAATTTTCGACTTCTTTTGCATTCTTAAACTGGCAATTCTCAAGGGAATGTTGCATCGATCTGAAAAGGTGAAAATCGGAGGGTGCTAAGTCTGGACTATACGGCGCATGTGGTAAGACCTTCCATCCTAGCTTCTCTAGTTCCTTACAAGAGGTTTTTGCCGTGTGAGCTGGAGCATTATCACGGAGAAAGTTGATAGTTGAGGGATTTAGGCCTTTTTCACGCAAAATTTCGTCAACCTTCTTGAGTTGTTGAATAAAATAAGATGAATCGACTGTTTTTCCGGGCTCTAATAATTCAAAATGAACAAGTCCATTGATATTCCACCAGCAAGACAACATCACTTTGCGCCCATGATAATCCGGCTTTGGAGTTGGAATTGGCGCTTGACCTTTGCTCAGCCATTGCCTTTTTCGAGAAGTATTATCAAAGTGAATCCACTTCTCATCCATCGTCAAGATATTCTCAAAAAAAATGGCTTCTTTTCGACTTATGGAGCAAGATATGGCTGATCGAAACGCGTGCTCCCAGATTCTCAACACTCAATTGATGTGGAACCCATTGTCCATTACGATTTGTCTTTCCAATTATTTCCAAATGGCGTACAATTTTTGAATGATCACATTGAGATGTTTGGCAAGTTCTCGTGTTGTTTGCATTGGATCAGCTTCAATTAATTGTTCCAATTCATTGTTGTCGATGGCTGTGGCACGATGTCCATGCGATTCGTCTTCAAGGGATTCATTACCATCTCGGAATTGGGCAAACCAGAGCTGGCATGATCTTTCGGTGATAACCTGTTCTCGAAAGGCGGAACAGAGATCACGATGTGAATCAGCAGCGTTTTTGCCCATTTTGAAGTCATAGAGAAGACACGTGCGCAGAACATACTTTTGATCCACCATGATCTAAAGCAAAAATCAATTAAAAAGTGAAAGCTCTGACTTTGAAAAAATGCGAAAATAAAGTAAATATCCAAGAGTACAAATGCACAAAAGAACATCAAATAAGCTCTTCAGATTAAAAAAATAAGAACATTTTATATCGACCGAAATTTCTTTTGCACCAACCTAATATATTAGATTGACCTATAGGTCTTTAGACACTTTTTTCTACTAGCGTTTATAAAAGAAAAATTGATCAATTGACCTACAATTTGCTTCATTAGAAAGGCCTACTATTTCTCTACAAAATAACGTTTGAATCTTATGAAAATGTTTTGTTTAGGTCTTTTTATGGGGGCGCCAAGTAGGGCAGTCAAAAAAGGCGACAACTCGAAGACGCAATTTAGCACTTACTACTGAATAGTTCTATGTACATATTCACTATAGTTAGCGCATCAGGAAGGATGCGTTTATCCATTCAAAGCACAAAGCACACGTTAAAGATCCATTTTTATAACTGAACTCAAAATTTTCCTCTTCACTTCATGCGTCCGCGTGGATTTTGATCGGAGAGAATTGCCCGTTTTATCGGAAGAACAGATTCGCGGGAAAGGCACATCGATGAGAAAAATGGCCGTCCCGTCGTATATTTGTTTGGTCTCTTTTCAGGCCATTCCCCTTTCCTGAATACGGAGGATCCGGTTTTGACGAGGGGAATTCCCGCCACCATTTCTCGGATCTCTTCATGAGATTTCCCCCTGAAGAAATCATTTTTGTTTCAGTTTTAGTCTATTTTTTTCAATGTATCATAGACTAGAACTTTTCAAATGATCTTTTTATTACTCTAGCTTGTTTATTACAAATTTTACTAACCTCAACTTCAAATCGCATTGTTCTCCCAGTTTAGCTAATTTTTAATAGGTTTTTGTACTTCATAAGAAATGATTGTAAACGCTGTAAAAGATGTTTATGATAAGAAAGATAAAAGTCAGGTTGAAATTCGTGGAGAATGTTGTACCAGCAAGTGTAGTGTTGAAAAGGCAAAAATTGTCTGAGGAAAAGACCCATTTCCCCTAAGAGTTCGTTTTGGCATTTTTCGGCAATTTTCGGCATTTGCAGTCGCAGTTTTTGGGAACACCTATCTATCGGCGACGTGTGCCAGATGCCGATCGATTGTTGCACAAAGAACACTTCGCCAGTCATTTACTAAGCATTCCTCTTTTGTAGATGGTACAAAAAAAAGATATTCAGCTGTAAATTTGTACCCGGGGGTTTTCGGGGTCGCCGAATCGTTTGGATCCATTCATGTTATTGAGTCTACCAATTGGAACTCGAGTTTAATTGGTCGAAACTTTTAGATAGATTCGAAATTTCCATGTTGCGGTCTATAATACTAGAATACAAGAAACTTACCTTTACAATATCTCTAACGATTAAAGTAAACAATTTGTATATCTAAAACTTGCATAACTTTAAGGTTTATGCCCCCGGATGATCCACTTGGAAGACACGGTCCATCACTTTCCCAATTCCTCTCGAAAGGCGTCCCGCACACCGCTCAGATTTGCCCCTACGGACGAAAATGTACTTATGGGAATAAGTGCCGGTTAGTTTTTAAAACTATCGATTAAATATCCAAAACCTAAAACTTAGATATTATCAAAACTCATTTTTTAGATATTTTCACCCGGAACGCCCGAATGGCATTCACACGTCGGTGACCGAGCGTCTGATGAGAGAGAATTGTCGGGGTGGACAGAAACCGTCGCTTTCGACTAGTGAGTTTTGCATCCTTGGCGTCAAACTACAGTACATCATAATAATAAAAAAGTAAAGGAATTGGCAAGAAAAAGAAAACTTTACTTTGCAAAAAACTTGAACTTTCTTGGCTTTGTGGGCCCCGTCTTGTTGGAATGTCCAAATTTGATTTTTGAAATGCTTTTGTACCCAGTGCAAAGTTTCAGCTTTGTGGAGATCGAGATAATTAACAATAATAGATGATAAACCAACACCCGGGAATCGAACCCGGGCCGTGTGGGCCATAGACAGTCGCGCTCCTGACTGCGCCACGGTGACAAAAAAAACCAACCAGGAAAACCCGCGGTTAGGCGTGTTAAGCGCGAAAAACCCACCTGATTTTACTATCAACCCGAATTCCAGGACCTTCGATGATCTACGAGGGATCTCCCCTGTCAGCCCTCACTGGATCGAATCATCAAACCGTTGCGCGAACACAATCCTTAAATGTGAATGTGGAGGGTCGAATGGGTGATTCGCCGAGAAGAGGAATCCTTCAATCGATCAACCATCACATTCCCCCACAAGGCCCTTTCATGAACGCTCCTCCACTTCCCGCTTGGCATCATCACATTCAACATCAAGCTTTGTCGAGGAACGCGTCGGCTCCGTTGGGTGATCAATTGAGGGCACAGGGTGGGTTAAAATTCGACTACCGTAATCCCATAACCCAGTTAGTCGATTCTACGGTAGTTACTACCCAGATCGTACAGATCACGATTGACGGTGGTCTTGTTGCTTGTTGGCTTATTAAACAAATCAGAGCCGAAAAGTATAACTTAAGAAGTTCCCAGACCCCAAGTGATCCCAAGCACTCATCATTACTACAGTAGAAAACTGAAATTGAAATTTCTTTTGGGGCTTTAATATACTTAACGAAAAGAGTAGAACTTTGTGCCTTTTCAGACTCCTCAAGCCCAACGTCTCGTTGCAATTCCCTTCTCGATATGTCATTGGGCCGAATGTTCCCATTCGTTCCCCCACCCCAACCACAGTCACATCTCTTCTCTCCATCACAACCAGGAATCTGGGGACATTCCGAGTTCTCCCTCACACCAATTAACACAACGACGTGAGTCAATGATTGGATCTACTAGAAATTTTATAGTCTACACTGTCTTCTATATAAACTTGTCACTTTAGTTTGCAACAATCTTCTTTTCAGGGAATTGGTCGACCCGACGTACGACGAGTCGAGAGCCCGTCTACAGTATCATCTCTCACAGCTCTTCCCATCAACAGCGGTTGGTTTTCTTGAAACAAATTGCCGCTTGTATTGGGGCAGAGGAATCAGGTCTAAGTCTAACATCTGATCATGTCTGGCCTGGCTTTACTGTCCTAAGCCAGAAGCCAGAAGTAGATCTGAATCCAGGCTTGCTAGCCCTAACCCTGACCCTGCCTGACTTGACTCAGCTCACTAACAGGCTTGCATAGAATGTTCCAATCATCGACCATTGCCATTGGCAATCTAACTTTGAGCTCAAATATCTCAGTGTTCAGCTGTTCAATTTAAATAGTTTTTGTACCAATCGACAGAGAAAGACTTGGCGCATTGAATGATACCAAGAATATTTAAATTGAAAAGCCTAACACCGAGATATTTGCGCTCAAAATTGGATTGCCAATGGCGAAGGGGCGGCGCGCCTATCTCCGATAACCTATCTATCATAGATCAACCCTATCGTACACCATGAATGAATGTCAATTTTAGGTAGCAGCCGTGATGGCCGCTCATCCAGACGAGAAAGATCCGCAAAGATTGTGTGAGATCATCATCGCTTTCCACAAGGGATTCAATCAAGCTCTATAAAAATTTAATAAATGAATAGATTAGGCTTTTAAACTTTCTAGTTAGGTTTAGTGATTTTCTCGTTTCGAATTTTGCCATTTTTACCCGTAACCCGGTTTTTATACACCTTTTTCGAGATTGTGATTCTCTTTTCTGATTCGATTTTCCCGAATTTCGAATATCTCAAAAATTTTGAGCTTTTCTAGAGCTCAAAATTTCATTTCCCGAGAAAAACGACGTTCTAGTCATTTTGGAGTTTTGGAGAGTGCTAGGGCTTTCATTCGATGTCAACCCAGTCCTTCATGGTGCAGTGGATAAAGCGTTTGCTTGTCCCCTTTTTTGCTCGAGGATTCGACCCCGATTATCACCAAAATTTTCCTTTTTATCTAAAACCTTTAACACTCTCCAAACTCAAGCCGATTTCTTTCAAATTTATGTTTTCTTTTCGAAATTTTACTTCCAAACGAAGTAGAACTGTGTGCGTAGGTCTGTTTTGTGACCTTTTTTTCTTCTTTTCTGTCATTTTTGTGAGAAAACAAAAGTATCTTTTATGAAGACACCGTCAACTAATAATTTTCAAATGTAAATTTCTGTTTTGTGATTGAAAATACCTTTTTCTCTTTCTTTCTTTAGAATAAACTTTAAGGGAGAAATCAAAGAAACACAAGAGCTTCAATCAAAAGCCTCCGAGCTGAATAAGTTTAGCTTTAAAGCTACTCTATCGGACTATCAGGCTAAATCCAGATGGAGCTATCGAATAAATCGAAACTGATCGAAACTCCACCCATTATGGACGGGACTTAACGTTTTGGCGTTGGCAATTTAAGGTTTTTTATGCTTGTCTCAGCACAAACTCTTCGATTTAAACTATTTTGAGCATCATTCGATTCAGAATAAAATTGCGCGTCAAATGATATCAAAATTGACTCAAAATGTAATATCCATGCAAAGTTATGAGGTTAATTCCCGCCCATAATGGACGCGGTTTAGGTTTTTAACCAACATCTTTACATGGATATTACATTTTGACTTAATTTTGGTATCATTTGACGCACAATTTTATTCTGCATCGAATGATAGTCAAAATATTGGGTTGGTCAATTGAAAACTGCCGGCTATTTCGCGGGACTCGCAGATAAAAAACGACAGCATTGAGCCAGCTGAAAGGGTGTTTGGTTACTTCAATATTTCCTCAAATTATTGCGAAAAAATTATGCTTCCAGCTTTTTATTTTTTGGTATTTTTCTTCACTTCTTCTATTGCACTCGACAATCTGCCCGGGACATATTCGTCATTTCATGCTTCATGAGTTCCTACAAGAGCACAGTGCAGGCTTGGCAGCTGCTAATATTAAAAAGATATATGGGGAGGACTCACCTTCTGAAAGAACATGTCGAGTATGGTTTGCCAAATTTCGATCTGGGGACAAATCTTTGAAAGATGCAGAGGGCCGTGGAGCGGCACCCCAACTGGATGATTCCAAATTACTCGAACTCATTACCAACGACCATCGGGTAAAATCGCGTGAATTGGGAGAAGATTTAGGGGTTGATCATGCTACAGTGCTAAGGCATCTTCATACCCTTGGGTTTAAATCGAAACTTGGGGCTTGGGTGCCCCATGACCTCAATAATCCCCAGAAGTGGTAGCGCGCCTCGATCAGTGCCGCCCATCTCTCACAATACAAAAGGAAATCTTTTCTTTCTCGAATTGTGATAGGATATGAGAAATGGGTCTTATCTGTGAACTTTCAGCGGAAGTGGCAATGGGTGGGGCCAGACGAGAAACCCGAAAGTGACCCTAAGCCCGATTTGCACCAAAAGAGTTTATGCTCTGTGTTTTCTGGGATATGGAGGGAGTGGTGTACGGGGAGTTGCTGGATACCAAGACGACCGTTAATGCAATCAAATACAGTGAATAGTTGGGAAAGGTGAATGAATCCCTGAAGAAGAATAGGCCCTCCAAGTCAAAGATCGTTCTCATCCACGACAACGCGTGCCCTCACGTTGCAAAACTGACTGGCTCTAAAATAAATATCCTTGTTTGGGAACTTTTGGCGCATTCCCCATTCAGTCCGGACCTCGCCCCTTTTGATTACTATCTATTCCGGATCATGAGTAATGAGCTTGCGGGAGAACACTTCGATTCGGAAGAAGCAATCAAAAATTGGCTTTGAAAGTTTTTTGATTCAAAACCAAAATCCTACCACGAAAGAGGAATCCGCAAATTGCCTGTAAAATGGACAGAAGTCGTCAATCATAATGGAAATTATTTGGAATGAATTTATGGTTTTGTGTTGAATAAATTTTAGTTCAAAGTCCGGCAGTTTTCAATTCATTTTGCAAGCACACCCCCAAAACCACATCCCAAACATAGGCTATAGGCGCCTAGTTGGGTACGCCGGTTCCTTTATTGGTCGCGGAATTCTGAGAATACAAAACAAGGTCGGCGCTGGGATTCGAACCCTCTACCAATGAGCTACACCGACGCGTATCCCCTATGCCAGGGGATACGCGTCGGTGTAGCTAAGTGATTGTTTATGTGGTCCTTATGCCTTACTGCATGACGTTATCACTTTTTCTACACGGGTGTCAAATATGTGATTGTTTATGTGGGCCGAGGATGAAAATGGTGGTGTTGGATGTGGGCGAGAGGGATAATTAGCGGAAACTCGGTCTCCCTTTCTACCCACAAAGGCTGAAGAATGAGGCATGCAACCGTGAACAACATCCTCTCTTCAAATCTATGGCTAGCACCAGAGAACTTTTGGAATGAAACCAAACAATTGAAGCTTTTTGAATCTCTTTAAAAGTCTAAGTTTTATATAAAATATTTCTGTATTCTTTTCGGTTAAACCTTTGACGCAAATTGAAAATGCATTGAAAGTTGAGTAAAACCTTCATCTAAAAGGTACCCTAGCTCAAAAGATACAGTACACTAAACTACAGTACACTACGGTAAACTACGGTACAAAAGCTACAGTACTAAATAGTCAGTAGCTATGTGCAGGGTGTCTCACAGCTACGTGACGCGCATCTTACTACGTTTAATTGCTTTCTGTCTTTTTTTCTTTTTGTACTTCACGTATGAAGCCTAAGAAAAAGCTGCGCTCAGCCATTATTACTCTTCATCAGCAAGGAAAAACACTCACAGTGATATCTCGAATCTTGCAGGAAAAGAGACAGAATGTTTTTCGCGCTCTGAAGCATTACAAAGAAGCGGGCTCCAATGAAGATCATAAAGGACGAGGCCCACCAAAGAATGCCAACAATTCAACAAATCGTCGAAAGATTTTTGATCGACTTAAAAGGAACCCCAACTCCTCAAAGAATTCTGTTAAAAAAATGACCAAGTCCAAGTATTGGAAAAAGTTCGGTTCATCGAATCCTCAAAACAGCCGAAATGAAACCCCGAAAGGGGATAAAAGGACATTTTTTGACAGATTCAATGAAAAGAAAACGTTTGGAACCTTTCTAGCGACTTTTAAGGCGATTTGGTACTGGTCGACATCGGAAGATCCTCTTCATGGATGAAAAGTCGTTTGATATTGAACAGGCCCACAACCACCAAGAACGATCGAACTTGGTCTAAAGAATCTCTTCCGTTAGACGGCAGAATTGTTTCAAGACAACAAGGCCCCAACAAATCATGGTTTGGGCCGGTGTCACTCAAAAAAGACGCTCTTGATCTTCATTCCCGTCAAAATTGACAAGAAAGTTTACGTCGATATGCTTGAAAAAGAAGTTTTGCCTTGATCTCAAGCGCACTTTGGTGCCAATAATAATTGGGTTTTTCAACAAGATGGTGCTCCTTCTCACAAGGCTATTGATATACAAGATTGGATATCCATATTTTGTCACCATATATGTGAGACAACCTATGCACCAAGCCAGTTTTAACCCTGTTTTCTAGTGGACTCTGGGCCAGGGCCCGGCCAATAGCCCGAAAATTCGTCTTTTCTCACAGATAATCATAAGTATTCTACATAGTATTTATCGTGTTTTCCTGCCGTAATCCATTTCCTATTCTGCATCAACTTTGACCGATAAGTAATCCTTAAAATAGTACAAACTTTCACCTCTTATATGTGCACTGTGCTCAATCTTGTAAACACTCCCTTTCTGGTGCACTGAAGTCTTCATTTTTCTTTCAAAAACAACTTTCTATTGTATAAAGGGTCGAGTGCACCAGAAAGGGTACGTTTACAGATTTCAAGAACGCCACAGCTCTGTTCGAAAACGAATGTGTTCACCAAATGGTTCTCTTTTTCTGTTAGAAATGTATCTGTCATCTTTTTTTCTTTTCCTTTCATTCCTTTCGGGATTTGTGTGTCCACCTGGAACCCAGATGGCCCCATACCCCTATTTTTTCTCCACAAAAAACCCTCCTCACCCCCACCAATCAAACATCGATCATTTTTTTACCTTTTTATTTTCATTTTTCAATTATCTCATCGAAAATCTCGTGTCTCTGCAAAAATCAAAAAATTTTCTTGGAAAAATTTGCTATCAAATTTCTCTCGTTTGACAATTTAAGCAATTTTGACAATGTTTGAAAAACATGTCTGCTTTCATTTTTTGAAGAACTTCAGTTTATAAATGTTTTCAGTCGTCTTGTAAACAAACATTGTAGAACATAGAGTTGTTATTGTTTTGAAATGAGTCTCTATTTGCACTTTTGGTGTGCTTAGTGCTTTTGTAAGAGCACCCTTTTAAGCGCATTTAAACCTTTATTTTTCTCTGCAATACAAAGTCGTTTTAACAAGAAAATGGAGAATTCAGTGTTTCAATGCTCAATTTCGCACTAACCTTTGCAATTCGACTCACTCAATGAATGACTAATCCAATCCAGATGCCCATTGGGGAGCTTTGATTGTTTGCAATGGAGAAATGGCAATGGAATTTGGGAACTTGACTTTTTCTTTTTGTTAAAGGGACTAGACTGGTCGATAGCTCTTCAGGTACCCCAGGGGACTCCGGATTTCGGATATCGATTGATGGGGTATAGGTTCTGAACTG